GAAGAGAGAAATCGTCTATCCATAAAAGACCTCGCGAAAGGAAGGCAATGATCTTATATCTATTTATTTTAAAGACGATCTGTTGGTATTCCCCCGCCCAAAAGTAAGTCCTCTGAGCATAAAGCACCTGAAAAATGTCAACTCATTTTAGAAGTGGATTTGATATTTTGGAATAGAACATCTGATTCTCCCCAGCAAATCTGAATAATTTAAAAAATGTTTTTGTAATTTAATAGGTCCATATATAGGTTGAGATGAAAAAACTGCAACCAACTTCAGACAGCTGTCATTTCAAAGCCACTCGTCCGACAGCTGTTAAAATTATTCCAGTGACAGCTTCCTATATTGTTTACAAGCGTATAAAAGCATTTTGGTGAGAATTTTCCAGAAAAAAAGTTATTCGTGATGGAATTCATGCGTGATAGTGTGATTTCTTTATATTTGGCTGGAAAACCACTAGTGGCTATCTTTGGAGCACTCCAGCATTTAAATGTGAATAAATTTTTAGTGACTCGTACCATCGCTCGTTACCGATTACGTGATACTGGTAGCGTAGCCCGACGTCAGGGAAGGGGACGGAAGAAAACAGCAACATCAGCAGATATGGTTCGAAATGTAAAGAAGTGACTTGCTCCAAACCCGCGTCGCCGTGGTCGAAAAATGGCTCGTGAGCTGAACATATCACAATATTCCATTCGGAAAATATTGAAAAATCAGCTCGGGGTAAAGCCATTGAAATTCCAAAAAGTGCAAGAATTTTCACAACAACAAGAAAATAGACTCAAAAGAGCTAAAGAGTTGCTTCGCTTGGCCGAAAGTGGTGAACTGCCGACTTTGGTTTTTTCCGATGAGAAAACATTCCTTGTCCAGCTGTTTGTAAGCAAACAAAATGATCATGTTTACTTGCCAAAGAGGTCAGCTGAAAATATGCACCTTCGGTTGGCCACCAGAACTCAAGCCCCGGCCATTGCGATGGTGTGGGCCGCAATAACAAGCGATGGTCGCTCTCCGCTCATATTAATCGACCGTAGCATCAGAATAAATGCCGAATATTATCACGAAAATATTCTGGAGGGTGTATTAAAGCCTTGGGCACGGAAACATTTTGGCCGCAGACCTTGGACATTTCAACACGAGTCAGCACCATTGCACTCATCACGCGCCACCCAAGAATGGTTACAAAATGAGGTTCAAATGAGGCCACCAAAATACCAATCCCTTGGACTATTGTGTCTGCAGTATTTTGGAAGGCAAAGTTGGCACTAAAAACACAAAAGTTCCAATCACCTAAAGCAAGCCCCTCGCCGGGAATGGGCCGAAATACGGCAGAGCAACATTCGGGCAGCGTGTGACGGTTTTATTGGCCTTTTGAAGGTTTTTATTCGTGCCAAAGTTGACCAATTCGAACAAATCTAAACTTATTCTAAAATATGAAGCTATTTCCGACCTTTTTATACCCTTCACCTTAGTATGGAGGGTATATTAAGTTTGTCATTCCGTTTGTAACACCTCGAAATATAAATTTTAGAACCCACAAAGTACATATATATTCTTGGTCAGCATAAAATTCTATGTAGATTTAGCGATGTGTGGCCGTCTATCCGTCTGTCCGTCTGTGGAAATCACTCTAGCTTCCAAACGAAATGAAGTAGGTTGAGAAAATTTTACTCAAATGTGTATTATGTCTGCAGGACTTTTGGTATTGAAAATGGGCCATGTAGTTCCACGTTTTCGCAGAGCCCCCATATAACGGTACCACGCGATATTCGGTATGTTGATGATTTAAGCGACATTATATACCGGAATTGTTTCAAATTTGGTATTTGAAGTTCGTAATGGATACTACAGCCTATGACAGAAAATTGTCTGTGCAGGCTTGAGACAAAATTTGACGACCGTGACATTAGAATAAATGGCGAAAATATTCTGCAGGATGTATTAAAGCCTTGGACACGCAAATATTTTGGCCGAAGACCTTCGGCATTCCAACAGGACTCAGCACCATCGCACTCAGCACGCGCCACCTAAGAATGGTTACAAAATAAGGCTCATTGCTTCATTTCCACCGCATAATGGTCACCAAAATCTGCGGATACCAATCCGTTGGACTATTGTGTCTGGAGTATTTTGGAAAGCAAGGTTGGCACTAAAAATACCAAAGTGTCGATCACCTCAAGCAAACGCTTCGCCGGGAATGGGTTAAAAAACCGAAGAGCAATATTCGGGCTGTGTGTGATGGTGTCAATGGCTGGTTGAATGCCATTTTTCGTGCCAAAGGTGACCAATTCGAACAAATCTAAACTTATTCTAAAATTTGATGTTATTTCCGACATTTTTGCTTTAATTCAATAAAATTAAAAAAAAAAATATTAAAACGTATGGCGTTTGTCTTTGTTGCAGTGCAGATTTTTCTATATCATCTTCACAACAGATCTTGCGTTAGTAAAGATGTTTGAAGAGAGTTGGAGTCGGAGTTATTGAAATTTGCATACGCATTCTCAGAGTGTTTTGTTTTTCAAAATCTTTAACCCTATGTGTGGGAGGTACCAAAAAATTCTCCGATTTTTGCCATCCTTATAACAGATCTTGTATTGATGGAAATATTGAGATATACCAAGTCTAAATGGAAACGGATGTTAATTTCGCGTTTTATGAGCTTTGTGGATACTTTAAAATTTTACCCTTTTTGGAGGAGTTACCAAAAGGACTGTACCGATATATCTAATTTTTATACCAGACCTTGGGTCAATAAAAATATTGTTATGTATGTAGTTTGTAGAGAAAAAAATGCTTATTTCGGTTTTTTTGATCGTTTTGGTTATTCGAAACTTTGACACTTTGTGGGGGGGATACCATAAGAAATGGTCCGATTTCTACCATCTTTATTACAGATCTTGTGTTTATGGAAATATTGAGATGTACCAAGTCTGAACGGAATCGGTTGTCAGTTTCGTGTTTTATGAGCTGCATGAATATTCAAAATTTTGACCCTTGGTGAGGGAGGTACAGGAAGAAGTGGACCATCCATCTTCACACCAGACCTTTGATTATTAAAAATATTGTGTTGTGTATAACTTGCAGACAATCGTACGCACATTTTATACATTTTTTTCACATTTTATACGTTTTAAAATTATTCGAAATTTTGACCCGTTGTGGGCGAGGTTCTTGATGGAGTAGTCCGACATTGTCCATTTTCGCACCTGACCTAGTATTGAAACAAATATTATTATATTTGAAAATATCGGATCATCCATTCTAATTTTTTGCAGTAAAATATTGATTTGAAAATTTCGACCTTTTGTGGTGGAGATACCAGAAAGACTGGACCGATATTACCCATCTCCGAACTCGATCTAAGTTTGTTAATAATATTACGATGTACTATGTTTGGACCAAATCGGATACTCCCTTCGAGAGTTATCGTGTGCTATAGCCAGAGACACAGACGGACATCCCAATATCCAAGTGCCGTGAAACGGATTTGGTCCATAGAGAAAGATACTTTGATGAGGCAGATTCTGGCCATATCAAATTATATACAAGATCCCTAGCCATATGGCTGAGAGTATAAAAATAATCAGCCTACATATGAATTCCATATGTTTAGGTAGAAATTAGACTTTTGAAGTATTCTGCGACCTATGACAAATTTAGGCAAGAATATCTTAACTAGCTACGATCTCGATTGAAGGTAGTTTTTAACCATATTTAGAAAAAAAAAAAAAAAAGAAAAAGACCCCTTTTGTGTTTGATAGTGCAACGCGCTCCTTCATTGAATTTTGTCTCACAGTGCTTACGAAACGTCTTCTAAAATGCTGCTTTGTAGAAGCCTGTCATTCTTTTTAGTATATATGAATTTCCGGCGTTTACGATTTTGTCTCTTTTTAATCATATTAGGAAAAAAGTGCCAGAAAATACCCTGAGGGTTAAGACTTCTAACCTAAGTAATCTTCGTATTGTTATCTGTGATATTGCATAAGGCACTATATACCTAAAATGGATTCCAAGGAAACCTAATCCGAAATTTCCAAATAAAAAACCTTGCCCCCTCAATTTATTCAAATTTGCGATGTAAACTTTCAAAAAGGCCCGTACACGGTTCTGCCATTTTTAGAGCAACTTTTAGAATCTGCAGGATATTATTATTTTTTTTTGTTTGGGTTGCACCGTTTAATTTTTTTATTTTGGAAGTCAAATTTCAATCGACAACTCAAAATGCGTATTTTTTTAAATGTGTTTTTGGATTATTCATTTTCTTTATATTTTTGTATATTTCCCTTGAAATGGACTACCCCATATTATCCAATCGCTATTTTTCATTTGCACGTTCATCATCTGCATCATAATTTTACACAAATTGCCAGTTATGCAAACGATAATAAACTACTCTACTTTTCGCAGAGAAAAACAAAACCGAACAACAACAAAAAAAAAATAAATACATTAAAATAAAAATACAATTTTGTAATTGTACAACAAAATTTTTAATTAAATTATGTGCCGCGAACATGACCGAATATCTATGTACATACATACATACATACACACACATAGATGGATACAATGTTCATGATAATAAACATGAACACAATTGTGTGGCTGTGTGCGGCGGCGAGAGAAAGGCCAGCGAAATACAGCCAGAAAAACAATAACAACAAAAACGCGGAAAAAACATAAACACCAAAAACGATGAACATTGAAATTTTGCAACCGCAATTTTAATTAAAATAATAACAATATTTTTATTAAATGTTATGCCCATTCCCAAAAAAAGAGCGTGGGAGATATGTAGCCCCAAAATGGAAGGGGAAAAAAGTGATAAATTGCAGCTACTCTGCCAAATGAGAGAACATAGGTAGGACAATGTTTAAAAAATAAAGAAGGGAAAATGGAACAACTAATAAATTAAAATCAAGTGGAGTATAAACTGGCCACATGGCCTTGAGTTCATGGGGGGAAGGGGTGGACTCCAGGGCAATAAAACAATTCCAACTTACCCGGTTTAAAACCATCTGTGTGTTCATGACTTTTGGAGAAATGCAATAGGGTAACCAAGAGACTTATGCTGATGTAGTGGTATAAAGAAGGCTCCATGTTGAAAGTAGTTGTTGTTGTTGCTATTATATGGTGGCTGCTAATTGCGGCAAGGACGGGTTATATATTTTCTGTTTTTTTTTTTTTCTTTTGATGCTTTTGTTTGTTTAAAAAAATTCACGTTTTTTTTCTGATGATGATGTCTTTTTTCCAATTTGTTTGTTTGCCTTTCGTGTTTGCTTTTTGTTTTCTGTGTTTTTCAATTGCTTTTAAATGCTGATATGTTGATCAAAAAATGCTGCTACTGTTTACTTTTCCACTAATAATGTTATTTATTTCCTTTTAGGTTTTTTGTTTTGTTACGTTTGTTTCGCTTTGGGGCTTTGCTATTTTCGTTTCAAAGGTGTTCTTTTATCATTTGCCGTTTTACGTTTGAAGTTTTTATTGGTGTGGCCTGAAGACTGGATTGCCGCTGCCGGTATTTTATTTCGTTACCAATGCCCGTTAAATGGTGTTTAAATTTTCCCATTAATCTTCCATTCATAGTTGCCGCACAAAAAAAAAAAAAAAAAACAACAACTTTTCATCGACTCGGCTGCTTCTCCGCCGCCCCCAATACTAAGACACCAACCGTGGATTGCCTCAATTCAATTGCCTTTCACAGCAACGAAGAAGAAAAAACAGTTACATGAATTTGCCGCCATTGGCACACACAGAGAGACAGACAGTCATACAGGTAAGTAGTAATTTTTTTCTCCCACTCTCTCTCTCTCCACCTCATGCCCCTGAGTAGATTCTCTTGTCGTTTTCCTGCTTTCTTGCGAATAATTTCTTTAGCCACGTCTTACCTTTGCTTGGTTTTATGCCATAAATAAGCCTTAAGCCAATTGATTGTTATTTACGAATGCTGGTTGTCTTGTTTATTTGCCTGGCTGTTGGTGTGTTGGTTTGTTTGTTTGCTTGCTTGCTTACTTGTTTGTTTGCGAGGCTAAAAAATGCCGAGAGCAAGAGAAACACAACCACGACGACAACAACGGTAACACTCGTTCGTGTTGTTGGAGTAATGAGAGTGGTGGGGATGTTGGTGGTGGTGGTGTGTTAGTAACACAGCACAGCAAATGCCTCGTTCATGCACACAATTCCTTTGCATAATTTAAGGCGTTTATTTTATTTACAATTTCTTCTTAACATCAAAGAAAACACATAAATGTAGTTGTTGTTGTAATTTTTGTTTGTCTGAAATGTTATTGCCTTTTTACGGAGAGCATCAAACACCAATGCCATCAATTGCGACTGTGTGTGTGTGTTTGTGTCAGTTTCTTTGCCTCTAAATCATTTCTTATAATTGGCAATATAATGATAATGTTGTTGCTTCTGTCAAAAATGATGATGATGAAATGATGTTGTTGCTGTTGTTGTTATTATTCCTTCTGGTGGGTTGGTAACAATTGTTGACACTCAGCTAACATTGATCTGAAAAAAAGATGAATGAAGAAAAGACACACAATTAAACAAATGTAGAGAAAGTTATTTAAGGTTATATGACAAATGCTTTTCTGAGAAGAAAGACAATTTTTAAGCAAATAAATTAATAAATTTTCTTTAAATATTATGGCAAGAAATTCAAAATATAAGACTTTAAGGTAGATACACTTGGAAGTTTAAAAAATTGCTACTGGGAGTTATTTTCACTTGATTAAAATTAAAACAAGTAAGCAATGACCATCCAAAATGCTAGGCTTATTCCATGTAATCTGTAGAGCGACTGTAAAAACAGGAAAATTTTAAATTTTTGGCTTATTTCAACCCTAAAAACTCTATACATAAAAAAGTACTGAAATAACTGACTTACTGACTGACCGAGAATTAACGCCCAGACGAAACGGCTGAAGCTAGAAACTTGAAAATCTTGGTCCGTAAGCGTATTACAAGGCTGAGTCTTTGTAAATTCGCCCAAAAAAATAAGAAAATTATTAAAATGAACTAAAAATTGAATACTCTGTATTGGACAAAGTTTTAAAATTTGAAATGAGAGCCATTTCAAATTGGTACTAACCGACCATGGCATCAGAATAAATGGCAAATATTATCGCGAAAATATGGCCGCAGACCTTGGACATTCCACCAGGACTCAACACCATCGCACTCTGAACGCCACCGCCACCCAAGAATGGTTACAAAATGAGGTTCCTCGCTTCATTTCCAGCGCACAATGGTCACCAAAATCTCCGGATACCAATCCGTTGGACTATTGTTTATAGAGTATTCTGGAAAGCAAGATTGGCACTAAAAAGTACCAAAGTGTCGATCTCCTCAAGCAAGCGCTTCGCTGGGAACGGGCCAAACTACCGCAGAGCAACATTCGGGCAGCGTGTGACGGTTACATTGGCCGTTTGAAGGCCATAATCCGTGCTAAAGGTAACAAATTCGAAACTTATTCCAAAATCGGATGTTACTTCCGACATTTTTTGCTTTCATTTCATAAAATCTCAAAAAAAAAAATGTTGAAAAGGCTCTAAGTTCGCCCGGGCCGAACTTAGAATATCCTCCACCATTTGGAACGAATTTGGCAATTCTCAAAAAATAAATTAAAAATTCTGTTAAAATCTTAAAAATACCGAATGTAGCTGTTATATTAGGGTCAATACGACAACGTAGACCTGCATACGCAACTTTTGTCATAAGCCTGCACAGACAATTTTCTGGCATAGGCTGTAGTATCCATTACGAACTTTAAATACCAAATTTGAAACAATTCCGGTGAATAATGTCGCTGAAATCACTAAAATACCGACTCTAGGGAGGTACAATTATATGGGGGCTATACGAAGACGTGGACCTGCACAGAAAATTTTCTGTCTTAGGCTGTAGTATTCATTTCGAACTTCAAATACTAAATTTGAAACAATTCCTGTGAGTAATGTCGCTTAAATCGACAAAATACCGAATATCGGGACGTACCGTTATATGGGGGCTACACGAAGGGGTGGACCTGCACAGACAATTTTTTGTCATAGGCTTTATTACGAACTTCAAATTCCAAGTTTGAAACAATTCCGGTGAATAATGTCGCTGAAATCACCAAAATACCGACTCTAGGGAGGTACAATTATATGGGGGCTATACGAAGACGTGGACCTGCACTGACAATCTCCTGTCATAGGCTGTAGTATCCATTTCGAACTTCAAATACCAAATTTGAAACAATTCCGCTGAATAATGTCGCTAAAATAATCAAAATACCGAATATCCGGAGGTACCGTTATATGGGGGCTAATACTTGGACCTACATAGCCCATTTTCAATACCAAAAGTCCTGCAGACATAACATACATTTGAGTAAAATTTTATCAATCTACTTCATTTCGTTCGGAAGCTGGAGTGATTTCCACAGACGGACAGACGGATGGACATAGCTAAATCGACATAGAATTTGCTGATCAAGAATATGTATACTTTGTGAGGTCTAAAATTAATTTTTTGATGAGTTGCAAACGGAATGACGAACTTAATATACCCTCCATACTATATATGGTGGAGGGTATAAAAATGTATGATTTCTGCCGAGATAAAGTTTTTAATATCTCTACGTTAATTATCAGATAGTTCTTATAAATTTTGTCAAAAAAAACCACGATCTTTTTTGAATACCACAGATTTTGTACTCAAAGGTATTGAAAAAAATTAATAATAATATATTCCTCAATAATCAGTGAATTTTGTCCTCACTTTATAGTCACCGAAAAATAAATTTCGAATTAAATCTGTTTTATCCAGGATAGGGAAAATCATTTTTTAAAAGTCCATCGTTATAGCTCCTCTAGTCCTTGAAAAAATTATTTAGAAATCCAAGATCTTGGCCCCGCTTCTAGCATCTTTTATATTATCTAGCTAATTAGCAAACATTTCTCATAATTACTTCATAATAGAAAATCCTCCCTTAAAGGGTAACTGGCAGATAACCGAAAAAATACCTCCCAATCAAATATTAAAATCGATTTCCACAGCTGCTGCTGCTGCCCTGCCCGTGGCAACCATATGTTCCAATAATTTTCGTTTTTTTCCTGGTTTCGGCATCAAATATGTGGCATTGTGTTATATTTCCGTTGTGTGGAAGTGTGAGTTATTTTTTTTTTTGCCTACCCTCCACAGTCAGTGGATTTTTTTTTTCAGACAGGCTATTGTTGTTGCTGCTGCTGCTGTTACTGGTGTTCCGGCAAAAATATATTTCCGTTTTATATGATAGCCGGAGTTTCGTTTTTATTGTGGAGATTTTCGTTGTCCGTGTGTTTTGTTTTTTGAATATTGCCAATACAATGCCGCCGACTGTGTGGTCGGGTCGTAGAAAATAGGGCGGGGAAGGGGGGGGGGGGGGGTTGCAGAGTGTCACAGAGCTGCATTATTAAATTGCTTGTACCACAACAATACAGTTCGTGCAACAAACCATGGAATTGAATGTGACCAAAGGACCCACCAATTTTAGTTTTGAATGGAATATTGGAGCCAAAAAAAAAAAAAAAAAAAAAAAAAGAGAGAGAGAGAGAAGTATTGCAGTAATGGTTTCGTTTTGATCCTCAATGGACCAGCGGGAATCAGTTTAAACTACCGGCTGGCTCTGTGTGCGTGCAAATGTTTCTGTGTGTTTTGATTTGGCACTAAATAATTGCTGGAAAAAAACACAAACTCACACACACACATATAAATACATTCATACACACATACACACAACAATTGTTCCTCCATGCGGTGCATCTGATGAATTTCGCTTTGATTTTGGCATTTCATCATTTCACCCCAAAAACAACCAAACAACGAAAACACCAAAAACAGAACAAAAATGAAATGAAATGAAATAAAACATCTCTCAATGTTTTTCAATATAACCTTCTGGTCGGCGGTTGCTCAACCGCAGTCATTATTTGGAAGTGTTTACTGGACTGGACTTGACTGCATGCGGACCATTGTTGCAGTGCGTGCATTGCTAAATTGTATGGGATATTTGTGTGTGTGTGAGCCAGTGAATACATGTATGAGTATGAAGTTTATTGAATCACCATAACCATAGCCATCATCATCAGCATGGCTGTTGTATTCTTCGTCCTCGTCGTAGTCGTCATCATCATCATCAGTTAATGGAAATTTTATCGGTCAATTTGACTGTGCGCCGAGCGCATTTTGAAATTCAAAATCATGCTCTACTCTCTATTCAAATGAAAATTCTTTTTGAAAACAATGAACACACAATTTTTTTATTGTTATTGTTGGTGCTGTTGTTGTTGCTGGAGGTTAGTTTTATTATTGAAAATTGTTTTAGTTTTAAACAAAAGGAATTTTCTGCAGCTTTTCGTTGTATTCACTGCCCAGTAATAATGAAACCACATTGAATCTGGTGGGAAATGGAATGTTCGTTGCATCTAAAAATTATTGGAGTTTATTGATGCTAAAGTAGTTTATTGGGAGGAAATATGGAGATACTGTGGGGAATATAGAAGAAATATTTGAGAGGTTGTGAGGATATATCCTGAAGATATATTACTTGTAATAAGAGGGTTTCCTTAGATAATCTACAACTTTTGGTTCTATAGTTCTTGAGAAATATTCTAAAGTAATAATAGTTTTTCGTCTGTTGGTCATTGAAAAAAAAAATTTAAAAAAAAATAAAAAAAAATAAAAAAATAAAAAAAAAATTAAAAAAAAATTAAAAAAAAATAAAAAAATAAAAAAAAATTAAAAAAATAAAAAAAAATTATAAAAACTTTGTTTGGCCATTTGGTCATTACAAAAAAATATTTTATAAAATTCGCATTTATTGGCCTCCTAATAAGCCTTCCAAGATCTCAATTATATGTATGTCCCACCTTGAAAATACCAACTGTAAGCACTTTAGTTTTCCTTCTAGACCATTAAAAATATTTCTTAAAGTCCACCAGGACGCAAAGAGTCCTTCACAAATACTTCAAAAAACCAACGTAATTTTTTGGGCAACTATAACAGATTATTGTTTTTTATTTTGTAATCTGGTTTATTGGACTATTAGTTCTTAATGAAATTTTATAAAAAAAAAGTCCCCTATTCTAGAAACGCTGCCTTCTGAAAACTGTTCTTTAAAAGATCCACGCCATAATCCTTGAAAATATATTTAAATTCTTAAAATTAGTCTTATAAAAATACCTAAAATATAAAGGTGTATTAAAGTCTTGGGTCTCGAAAAAAACTTTCATAAATTAATGTCTATTGGTACTTAAAAAATCAACAGGCACTAGCCTCCAAATTAACATAGACAGGAAGCATTCATATGCCTCTCTTAAAAAAAAGAAATACTTGAGAATTCTTCAAAAAATCAACGTAAATTTTTATGGACGAAAGATATTTTTTTTAAAATAAATCTCCATTTTTTGAGAAAAACTTTGTAAATACCCGATTCTTGGCAATATATATCTTGAAAAATATTCATTAAAAAATCAATGTTTTAT